GTTTAGATGGGGATGGGGACCAGTGGTCCCCCCGTTTATATATTTTTTTATTTCATTCAACCAAAACAACGCCGTTTGCCAAAAAATTTAATTTTTTTTTATCAGGCCAAAAACAACGTCGTTTTGGCCTGGATTTTAAAATTTAAAAAAAATACCTCCCCGTCGTCTTCCCCGAGCTACCTTTGTTTCTGGTTTCAGAACCTGGTGCTCCCCAGTTTCCGGCCAAACCAGGGGGGTTCAAGCGTCGCTCTTGCCTTTGTTTTCCGGCGAGCGGAGGGGCGAACGCCCCCCTTCGCTCCTACATAGCTTCGCCTCTGGGTGCAAGATCATGAAACATATTCTTGATGAAAAGTCCATTTTATTTGATACCTTTGGAACGATCAACAATTCAAATGATTTTTTTTTTTAATGAAGAAGAAATTTATTAAAGCTTAAAACCTCTAATACAACTATTTCTCATACAATCAAAATTAAAAGCCTCCATAGTCGAAGTTGGAAGACAAAAATCCCAAAAATGTGGGTTGGCAACAGTGAGACCCACATGAGCTAATGTGTCCGCCATAAAATTAGCATCCCTATAAATATGCTTCCAACTAATATGTTGAAATTCAGAAGCCAACCATTTGATGTCCTCTATGATAGGTTTGAGATGCCAAGGGGGAATCCAAACATCTTGCACCACCTGGATGACAAAGCTTAGAATCCCCTTCCACCATCAACTTCTTCACACCTTTGCACCTAGCGAACAAAAGCCCTTCCTTTAAAGCAACGGCCTCCGCAACCGAAATGATGGCACCATCAAGGTTCAAAGCCCCCGCACCAACATGTTGCCCCTCCTCATTTCTAAGAACAAAAGCAGCTACAGAGTGATCCAAACTAACCAACCCATCAAAGTTTAATTTCACATAGCCATGGGGAGGAGGACACCAGCAAATGGGGTGTTGGTGACAAGGATCACCCCTAGAGATCTTCTTACAATTAACTTTAAAAAAAGATAAGCCTACACTTGTGGCAATGGAGATACTCCTAGCCGGATTAGGAATCATACACTTGTGGCAATGGAGATACTCCTAGCCGAATTAGGAATCATACTTCTAAAAAAATCATTATTTCTATCATTCCATATTTGTCAACAATTCAAAATAGCTTTACTAAGATCACTCAAATCATGCATTCAACATTGTCAATTAGTTCCATGCAATCTAACACATTATTAAACTGAGTCAAATTATTCTTCCAAGGTTCCACATTTCTTTAGCATGCTCGCAATTAAGAAAAAGATGATTTTGAGTCTCATCCTCATTGCCACACGTAGGGCACAATTTGTCAATATTTTGAATAAATTTACTCAATCTCATCCTAGTATGAAGTTTTTCATGAGTAAAAAGTCATGCAAATTTTTTTACCTTCGAAGGTATCATTAACTTCCATATCTTCTTAAGAAGCGTCTGCCTTTTAACTTCTTGATTATTATTACTCTAAATCCAAGTCGTTGACTTGATTGAGAACTCACCATTAGAGGAGTGTTTCCACACGAAATTGTCACTTTTATTTTGAAGGGAAATAGGCACCATACAAATTTTCCTCACAACATCTAGGTCCAACACTTGGGAGAGACAAACTCTATCCCAACTTTTATGATCAATAAACTCACTCACTTTAGTGTCCCAATTTATGTTCTGTCGTTGATTTTCAGGAATTAGTTGGAACAATGGATAAGAAAAAACCCAATGATGGGTCCAAAAAAGTACATCCGCACCATTACCCATAACCTATCTAATTCCCTTGTTAATAACATGTCTACTATTCAAAATCCCTTCTCAGGCCAAAGGGTGGTTCTGCTTGACTTTGCAACTAAAAAAATCATCATTCTTTAAGTACTTTCTTTTAACAATTTGCACCCACCAATTGTTTTCATCCTTTAAAACTTTCCATCCTAACTTAGCCAAACATGCATTATTGAAATGATCCACTCTTCTTACGCCCAACCCCACTTGATCCTTAGAAGTACACACTTTTTTCCAAGCCATAGGTTTTAACTTCCTATATCTCCCCCAAAAGAAGTCCATACACTCATTGTTTAAGTTCTGAGTTACTCGAATAAGACATTTAAAGCAAGACATGATATGATTCGGCATACCAGATAAGTTGGACTTAATGAGAGTTAGTCTTCCTGGCTTAGAGAGAGTATTAGCCTTCCACCCAACAAGCTTTTGCTTAACTCTTTTGATTAATTCACATTCATTCACTGGATCTTTCCAAAACACAATATTATGAATGCCCAGATATTTGCCGATGGTAGTTTTATGTTGAATATGTAAAACATTCACAATAGCATTTCTAGTTTGAGAATTAGTATTTTCTGAAAAATAAAGTGAGGATTTGTGGAAATTTACCTTTTGACCCGAAGCTTTGGCAAACATATTAAGAACATGAAGTACATTCCTAGCACCCTTTGTAGTTGCCCTAGCAAATAATAAACAATTGTCTGCAAAAACTAGATTTGATATTCTAAATCCACCAGGAGAGGACAAAATAACAACATGCAATTTATGGGTAGTGGCCATTTCGTTAGAGTGTCTAATCAACGGTTCCATGCAAAGAATGAAAATATAAGGGGATAAAGGATCCCCTTGCCTAATTCCCTTCTTAGGGTAAAAGTAACCATGGGTAGAACCATTAATTAAAATCGAGAAGGAAGTTGAAGTAATGCATTCCATAATTAAGCTCACCCATCTTTCCGCAAAACCTAATCTAAGAAGCACATACCTGATATACTCCTAATTAAGATAATCATATGCTTTTTCTAAATCCAGCTTTATTCCCATTGCTCTAGTCCTTCCTTTCTTACCTTTAAAACTAGAAAACATTTCTTTCACAATCAAAATATTATCATGAATACAATGTCCCGGAGTAAATGCCCTTTGGTTTCCAGATATGCAATGGTCGAGAAGTGGCTTTAACCTTTAAATGATGATTTCATGATGATTTTATAGCTCACATTGCAAAGACTAATTGGTCTATAATTACTTACCACCTCAGGATTTTCCACTTTTGGGATGAGGGCAATGTTGGTATGATCAATAAGCCTCAAGCTAGTACAATTTTCAAAGAATTCCTTAACCATAGCACTCACCGAATCTTTGATTATATCCCAACATTCATGAAAAAAACTTGCACCAATTCCATTATGACCTGGTGCTTTCAGCGCACCAATTCTTTTAATTGCATCCCATATTTCTATATTTTCAACAGGCTTGAGTAGAAGTTTATTGTGATGGTTGTCAATACAAGGATCAACAATATCTGCAATAGAAGAGATATCCACAAGAGCAGGGGGACTATCACAAGAAAACCGCAGTTTAAGGTCCTACACAAAAACCTATTCTAGACCCTCACCCTCATTCCACGAAAACCCATAACTATCCTTAATCTTTCGAATTTTGTTTATACTATATTTAGGGACTCGTATTTAGATCTCGTACAAATACTCGGGGGACTTAAATATAATTATGTGATAAAGGAATGGGCAAATATGTAATAAGTGAGGAGTCCTTATTCTATAAAAGGACCCCTCACCCTCACAATTAGGGGAGGCCAATTCCTAGGCCCTCTCACCCCTCTCAAAGCTCTCTCTCCCTCAAATAAATACATAATTAGTGTGGATGTAGCCCAAACTTTGGGGTGAACCACGATACATCTTGTGTTATTTACATTTCTTGCAGATTCATGATTGGATTTACGTTGTTCCAAGACCTCCGGTTTTATGCATCAACATTTAGCGCCGTCTGTGGAAATTAACATGAAAAACTATGTCAATTCTCTCTCAATTTTTCATCTCACCATGAATCTACACAACCCAAGAACCCAAAAACCTCACTCTTTGGGCTTTTCCAGAATACCTTCGCAGATCTCCAACCACCTCTCTCTCTCTCTTCCATTGAACCTCACCTGAAAAAAGCAGACTCGTCAATCCATCACCATCTCAAATCCCTTCAGTACTCGGACCACCTCAAATCCCTACAACCAGAGAAAATCAGTCGCCATTTTTTGTCGTTACTCTCACAAATCTTAGAGCAGAAAGTCATAGGGGAAAAGGGTGTACCGCTACCAAAATTGGGATGTCAATGATCCAGCATCAAAAGGGATTCACTGTAATCTTCAACAAGAAGTAGTTCTCGGAAATCCTCCATCTAAAAAATGGTTTTGCTGCATGCGTGCGGAGTCATGAGGAGGCACCACCACCACCACCCACTTCGAGAACGCCAAGACTCGGCGTGGCATCATCTCCCTGCCTTCTTCTGCTGATGCACACCCACTTCCTCAGACCATTTTCCACCACACTTAACTCACACAACATTCAACCCATCTCTCTCTCTCTTTCTCCTGTTCTACCTGTGGCCCGTTGTTCTTTGACTTCTTTTTCTCATTGGCTTTTCCTTTTTGCCCTTTTTTCTTTTTACTCTCTCTTCCCTCTCTCTCTCATTGATTATTATCACCGAGAAAGGTAAACTGTCGGTGGAGTGCGAGCATCCTATGATTCTATTGATCCATGAAGAAGAAAGTCTCTCTTCATTTGTGGTATTATAAGTCGTTGTTTTCTTCTCCCTTGACTTCCACAGTAAGGCATGGTGGAAACAGTTCTTGGAGCACCACTGTTTTAGCATTTTGGTCTCTCTCTTAATTGCCCAGTGACCCGAAATCATGGACCACAAGGCTTGGCTTTGAAAAAAAAAAAAAAATCTTCAGAGAAGACAATTCTTGCAACTAACAAAGTTGCCACTCCTTTGGGAAGAATTGAAGAAGAAACATTTTCATATCCAGCTGAGAAAGGAAGTGAAACAGAGAGATCGAGGAAAAATCTAAATGAGAAGTTAGCTTCAGTTCTCCTAGACCGCACTGTAAAAGAAGATCCCCTTCCAGAACATGCAAAACCGGAAGAAGAAGTTATAGCAGGTGATTGTAGTGAGAAGGCAGGAGAGTCGGTTTTAAAGCAAGAATTAGAGGAACCTTTGAGGCAGGGAGTATCCACAAATGAAAGATCAACTCATTCAGATGATGCATTGAACGAATGCATGCAGCAGCTAAAGTTTGTTCGAGAAGAACAGGAGCAAAGAATACATGAAGTGGAGGTTACAATCGCCATTCCTGAGCTTGCTGTGAGTGTGAATCAGAGAGCCGGATCTGGAGAAATGGCTAGCGTCTTGCGGCTGTGGACTGCGGTGCCCGGTGGGGACGGTTCGTGACTCGGTGACGGTTTGACTCAATGGCGTGGCAGATGGTGGGCGCGACGTGGTACAACACTTCCAAGGCACCACTGATGGCGCTAGAAAGAGATTATCAAAAACACATTCATTACGACTTGAAGATAAGCTTTCTCTGTCTGTTATTATTCCTTTTGTCTGCCACCTGCCAAAAGAAGAAAGTAAAGAGGAAGGAATTATACCTGATGATGGCATTGCTGCCCTTCTTTATGCCTTAAAAAGCTGGAAAATTTCTTTTGACCACACCCTGGTCAAATACCAGTGAGTATGGACACAGAATTCCTAGCTATATCATGTAATTATTGTCTGCCATCTGCCCAAAAGAGAAAAGAGAAAGTAAAAGCAAAAAGCAAAAGATGATAAAAAGAAACAGATATAATTGCGGTGGTGATGGCATGCAGAAAAGGGAATTATAGGCGTGACCCATTGAGCAGAGGGTCGGATTTACTTTAAATGATGTAATTTATTTTTCTTATCTTTCAGAGACATCTGTATAAACCCTATCAGAGGGTAAAAAAAAAAAAAAAAACAAAAAAAAACAAAAAAAAAAAAAAAAAAAAAACAAAAAAAACAAAAAAAAAAACATAAAAACAAAAAAAAAACAAAAAAACAAAAAAAACCAAAAACGAAAAAAACGGCAAAGTTCAAAATAAATGGACTGGAATGTTGTGTGGAGGGCGAAGGTCCATAAGCCCAAAATAGCACCAACCAGGTGAACCAAAGTAAGACCAGTACCACAAAAAATTATTCGGGACCCCGCCGTTATTATCACCAACCAGGTGATCAAAAGTACGCCAGTACTCCACAATTATTCGGCAACCCGCTGCTATTATCACCAACCAGGTGACCAAAAGTACGCCCAGTACTCCACAATTATTCGGCAACCTGCCGCTATTACCACCAACCAAGTGATCAAAAGTACGCCCAGTACTCCAAAATTATTCGGCAACCTGCCGCTATTACCACCAACTAGGTGATGAAATGCACAACCCGTACTTTAATATCATTTGGCAACAAGCAATTCATGCCACCAACCAGGTGATGAAATGTACAACCCGTACTCTCCTTCATGCCACTAACTAGGTAATCAAAAGTACGCCCAATACTTCAAATCATACATGAGCATTACTCATGTCAATCATACATAAACATTCATGAGCATTACTTATCCAATCATACATAAACATTCATGAACATCACTCAATCAACATTCATGAGCATCACTCGTGTCAATCAACATAAACATTCATGAGCATCACTCATGTCAATCAGCTTCAAAAGCTTCATTTACAAAAGCTCTAGCTTCAAAAGCTTAATTTACAGAACTCTAGCTTCAAAAGCTTCATTTACAGAACTCTAGCTTCAAAGGCTTCATTTACAAAAGCTCTAGCTTCGAAAGTCGAAAGCTTCATTTACAGAGCTTTAGCTTCAAAGCTTCACTTGCAATATTAAGTTTGTTAAGTTTATTAATCCTATTAAAAGGACAAGCAAGCCAGGAACTAGCACTCACCTCTTGGATACAGCCAGCACCCTTCTCAGTCCTTGTCCAGCCTTGTACCAGCTCCGCTCTCGCAACCCACATTCGCATATCAGTCTCGCCATCCCTAGGTAACTTACAAGTAATCACCAGGAGACAAGCAATCAGATTCAGAGCTCCAAAGCACTCCCAAATTGAAGAGCAATTAACTCTAATTTGAAACGCTTCCCCCAAAATACCAACTCTTTCAATCTTTCCGACTTTAATCAACAACCGAACAGCTAGGAAAAACTGCAGGCATTCAGATCCCGCAAGAGAAAACCCGAGGACCAAGCTAGGAAGCCCAAGACTCCCAATTGAAATCAATAATCCCCCTTACCCAAAAGACTAATTTAATAATCTCAAGATTTATCGCAACCGGAATTGAAGCTCTATAATCCATCGGAAAACCTCTAAATTAAAAACCACTTCCCCAACGGAAAAGTGAGAGGCGCCGCCCCCAACCTTTTGAAACCCCAAATCCCGAAAGTAAAAATTAGCTACAATAAAATATCCATCTGCAAAACAAACTGTAAAAAGCAAAACCCAGAATTAAAGAATAAATCACAAAAACCAAATAAGCACCAGCACTTAGCCCTTCCCCATTCAACTTCCCACGTATTAATTAGCTCACCAACAATAGCTAGCTTACAGATATCCCATCCCCAATTAGCTTCACCCACCTTCATTATTATCCTTTCATTTTTAACTTCATAATCACATATTTATACCAACGCACATATTTATACGAGTTTGGTAATCCATAAAAGACTCAGATATGCAGGAGAGAAAGATGGAGAAAGATCATGGAGGATGGACAAATTGTGCATATACTCCTACCTCGTTTCTCTCTTTTCTTTTTCATTCTCCCTCATTTTCTGCCATACGTTTGCCTCTCTATCTTCAACCGAAAAAGAAAAAAAAATTGAAAATGAAAGTGAGTGTCACCAAGCGAGCCGTTTTTCTTTATTAAGAAAGAGTACTATTATTCACGTAAACAACCAAAATATCATATTTTAAATTCGCCGTCTAATCACACTTAATTCTTTACTTCCAATTTATTGTTTTACCTGACATATTTTTATACTACACCGGTATCATCTCATATAATAAGTGATACGTACAACAATTCAATAAATTTATTATTTGACATGACATAACATGTACATAATCACTTGTCCAATGAGATAGTACACCAATGTGATACAAAAATATAATATACCTAGCATTTTCCTATACATATACAATCAACTTCATTCAATGAATATTATGTTGCAATTTATTACATACTTGTATATACTGATCTAGTATTGTAATATAAGCATATATAAGACTTCTCATGTATAGTCCATGGTATTGGATCATGCTAACAAATGATAACAAGCTGGGATATATAGGAGCATGCAAGCCAATGCATAGCGGTGGCTCACGGATGAAAGGACGTAGGACAGTCTCCATGCTCATTCAGCCGGCCGGCCTGAATGCATTTAGAAGGCCCAGTAGGTGGAACCGGTGCTCTGTTGATCTCGCAAAGCATGAAACATGTCCATGCTGGCCTTTTTTTGTTTAAGAGCAACTCTACCCCAAGCACATAGGTTGGTCCAAAGTGAAAAAAATAGGCTGGCACCCCTTAAAAACCCTCCAGCCCATCCAAATAGGTTGTCACCCATCCCAAGCCAATTCATAGGCCGGCCCAAAACATGCTGAGCTAGAGACCATCCTACATCATGCCGGGCTGACGTCATAGCCACCTGAATTTTTATTTATTTATTTATTTTGCGTCGGGTCCCAGCAGAAGAGGCTGTATCCACTAGAGCGGAGGCCGCAGAGAGAGGTCCGTTAGCCGGAGATGACGGAGAAGGAGATGTTGGGATCGACTGAGACTGTTTGTCCGCGTCGGTAGCAGACGATGGGTTGCCGCGGTTGGTCTGACACGACATCGCGGACAGTGCCGTAGGCGGAGATAACAACAAGGGTGGAGCCAGAACCGAAGGCATGAGCTGGTGGTGGTATAACAACGAAGAGGATGGTGGTGGTGATGATGATGACGGTGGCGGTGGTAAGGGAGGAGAAGAGTCGTTTCATCATAGAAATGAGTGGGGATTGACGGCATGGGTGGTGGGTTGGTGTGCTCTGGTCTACTTCATTGGAGATGTCTGCTTCAGAAATTAAAAATCAAATTATTATTTTATAATAAAAATTAATTTTGGGTATTCATGTATATCCCTAGCTTAGAGTCTCATATACTGCTGAGTAATGATCGCAAACCTATCCGAAGATCGAATGGAGAGGAAAAAGGAAACGAAAAAGACCCAGCTTGGGGGGCCTGCAGGGGCTGCTCAATTTGAAAGAGAATTCTAGATATTTTCCCAAGAATTTATGGGGTCCGTTTGATCAAATATAACTACAAAATATTTGTTTTATCATATATCGACTTTCTTTTGGGAGTTTTAGACTACTTTTCGTTTTGTTTTACACAATGTTACTTGATAATCAAAACTGATCTACTTAGAACATCCTTTAAAGATTACCTTTAAAATAAAATTAACTAAATTTGAAATCGTTTAGTCATTTAATTCTTATGCAATAAATAAAAGTCACATTTCTTTAATTCCATATTAAAACTGTGCCAACTTTAATCTAATAGTTAAATGAGGATCAACTTAACTAAACTTCGTATTTAAATTGAAAAGAAATTTAAACGAGTTAACCGAATAATTAGAGTGTTCAAGCAGGAAATCTGGCTGGTGGGTGTTCCTGGCTCAAGCACATAGCTCTCCGAGGAGTTGGCTCTTTGGTTGATTGTCGGGCTCCTGCTTGTCGCAATGCTGCAAGAGGAGAACAAAGTTAGTTCTGAAAGGTGCCTTTGTGGGGCCTTAGGTATAGGCCTTGAGGCTCGCAATCAAAACCAACTTAGTGCTTAGGCGTGCCACTGCCATCTCTGTATGGCAGATGTAGAACAAGTGTATTTTAAGCCGATTACTTGCGCCCTAAGTTATTTCTGACTTCTTGTTTATCAAAAGATTGTTGTAGATGGGTTAAGTCTACATTAAGTTCTTTTCTATGCCTTGAGATCAAGGACTTTTAGTTATCTTGTATGTTTAAAGGGTGAAGGTCCAGATTTGATCAAGTCATCAATTTAACTCATTTCCATCTTCTTATGATGATAAAATCATTAAGTGAACCAGATCTGAGAACTAATGGGGCTTTGGGTCATCAAAAGACTGAAAACAGCTTGACTATAAACTGGGGAATGCATTATAACACTAGATCTATTAATTGAAAGACAAAACAAAGAGGGTTGGGCAAGATTTCACCTTGTCGGGCAAGGTTAAACGTTTTGCAGTCTCTTCTCTTTGCAATTACAAACTGATTGAGTACTAAAAGGGATGACTGGAAAAGAGTTTATACATGAGAGATCGATACTACAACATTTAGGAAAAGGTAGCAGAGCTTTTACATAGACAAAAGATGTCTTTATAAGGAAATCTAAGGCTAAAATGGTGCAAAGTCTGAACAAAGCACGACTTTCTGGGTACTTGCTTGGCTGGGAGACAAGTTGCATGTTTGTTTCTTTGATTGGTTAAGTGTCCTTGTCTTTGGGCCCTCTTCCTCCTTTTATAGATGAATTAACCCGACTTGTGCTGTTTCTGTTCTTGCTCGAAATCAATTGGAGGTTAGGGAACCATCAGTATTTTACATGCTATGCCATTCATAAAGTGCTTTTAGACTGAGAGTTGGTGGATTTCCATCGGTTGTCAATTCCTTTGTAAGCACATAATCTTTGCATTTAATGAGAAGCCATCATGTTGTCTCGAAGTGGACATCTGGACTTGGTGCTGGGTTTAGGGCAGAAACTCT